ATTCGAGTCGGTCGTCCATACCGATATACCCTCCCGTATCTTCAAGGGCTCCAGCACTGTAACGAAGAAGTTCTAGCGCTAGGGCGTCAGGCTGTGAAAGGGTAGGCTGTGTTGCCTCTCCATGAATTTCCTGCCCAATGTGCTGGGTTGGCACATCCTGATGGACCCTTTGCCATGGCATTAGTTGGGTTCCTGGATGCTGGAATGCTGTATTCGTGTTTGGTGGAAGAGCAGAGTCTGGCGCTAGGACGTTAGACGGTGGAAGAGAAGGCTGCGTTGCCTCTTCATAAATCCCCTGCCCAATGTGCTCGCTCGGAACATTCAGAGGGGTGCTTTGCCATGGCATTATCTGGGTCCCCGGATGCTGGAGCGCTGCATTCGTGGTTGGCGCAACAGCAGTTACTTGTCCGGGCAGGGGTAATGAGGCTGTGGTCAGGAGATCGAGATTTTCTACCGCCATGAAGCTCACCCTTACCAAGGGACTATAGACGATTCTGACGTCATGAGATGGCTCCTGGCCAGGTCCATCGGCCAGTCTTTTGAGCATGAGGATGACTTTTGTTGTTTCCCCCGATACTGTGAATTTGTCCTCCAGCATCTTTGGCCCGGGTTGTAAGTCTCCTTCCGCCCTCGCCGAAGGTGTCCGTTGAAGCTGAGGTTTCGCCGGTGTGTGCAGTCTCAGCCAGATACGGCAAGGAGTCACGCAGCGCTGTCTGCGTGCTGATGGTGATAGCCTTTTCGAACATGGCCCAAATCGACGACGCCGGCGGGGTTAGCAGCTCGGCCGCGGACGCTTCGCCTGTAGGGTGAGGGTTCTCGTTGACAGATTCCAGGGCGTTCACGGATACTATTTTGTCAATAACCTTCATCGCATGAGAGGTGATCGTGGCTCCGATAGCTTCAATCGAGACATAGACTTCAACTGGCACTTTATTAGTAACGAGATGAGGACTCGGCCGCCGTCAATGGGTTCTTACAAGGATGGTCTGGCGGGTCAGAGTTGGGAAACAGGATAGTGTACACTTTTTTCCAGAGTCTTTCGGCCAAATCAAGTCGCAGTTTTGGCAGCTGAGGACGTTTATCGTCGGCTTGATCGATGGCTGTTAAGATGTCGGACCACTGTTCTGGTTTCATGATGTATTCCGGTGAACCACCCTTTCCACGGTCTGTATGAACAAATTCCAGGTGGTTCCTGTAGCAGCCTGTCAGCGGGACGAATCACCAAATGCCTATTCCTCTGGACTGCAAAACAGCCAGCGAGCTCTGGCATGGGAGGCCAAACTTACTTCCATTTACATCGCGTTCGCTTCTTGTACTTGGGGTAACAGGTGGAGCTCATGGTATCTTTTTTGCTTCCAGAAATGTTCCAGGTATAAGGGCAAGACCATGGCAGATCATCTGCGGGCTTTTTGCGGTTCTTTGAGGTTTCTGGAGAAGGCCCATCGTCTTCATCCTCGTCCTCGCTGTTGTCAGCCTTCTCCTTGCCCTTCCTAGATTGTTTCTGGCGCTTATTGCGATAAGTACCGTCTGTGTTTCCAGGCTTTCCAGGACCAGCTGAGGATGCGCCTTTCCCGCAATTGGCTGATTGCGACGAGGTCGGCGTCTCTTCTGAGTCGTTACAGTGGCGCCGGCTGTGACCGTCAGTGTGTGGTGTGCCATGACAGACGGATTCTGAGGCCTCGGCATCCGAAAACTCATCGGTCTCTGTTACCGAATCATCGATTGGTGACGTGCTCCCGGGTATGAAGTCACCGGGGGCTTCGAGGAACCGTCGCTCACGTACTGGAAGCTGCTGTACCGACGCAACCAACTTTTCAGCAAACTCAGGATCGTCCTTGTAAGCCGTTCGTAGAATCGTAGCAAGCGACCCGCCTCTATCTTCATCCTGAGAGGAATCATCATCTATGACAGAAGGGCAGCCGTCGTCGTCAGTCTGAACAGACCCCGAAGTCGCAGACGCGCTTGCTTTTAGGCATATATGTTCCGATTTGGCCGTTGGTGGTGTGTGTGGCTGTTGGAGACTTTCGATCACCTCGGTACAACGTCCCAGCGACTCTGGAATAGCTTGCGTGGCTGAAGAGTCTTCCTTTTCAGAATCAAAATCGTCGGATCCGCTGGTCAACGTCGGGCACTGGCTTTCGTTGTCGATCTGCCGGTCCGCGTAGACTATCATTGACGATGTACGTCGTTGCGCAGGAATCACTTGTGTGATGCCGCGTTCTGGGTACGGATCCACGCCTTGAACGTGGGGACCACTTGCGATAGTCTGCCCCAGGTGTAAGATGTCAGAACAGTGCAATCGCTTCTTGGGAGCGTTGGGGGCAGTGCTCCGAACGTGAATCGGGACACTGGACATACCTTGGTGACATGATCATCTTGATTCACGACGATGTGCTGAAGTACGCATCCTATGGGATCATCTTTGATAGGTTGATGGAGGTAACTTTCTACTTGTGAAGAAACCGCGTATTGGCAGTATCGTACGATTTGGCTCATCTTGTATGAAGCACATCGGCGCGTTGAGCCTCAAGGTAAGTCAAATGTTGTGTTCTGAGAAATGAAAGCAATGGTAATTCCAGGTTTTATTGAGCAGGCGGATGGGTAGCAGTACAACTATTTCTCTCCGCATTTGCGGCAAAATACTGGACTTTCTCGAAGCCTGTCGAGTAATTTCTAGATTCTGGTAGTACAAGAAGAAAATCTGACCGAATCGGGCGCACTTCGCAGGTGGCCAGTAGGCACCGGCACTATCATCGATCAGCATGACCTACGTACCCTAGTCGGCTGCCATCTGCACCATACAGGGAAACACGGGCGTCTGAGTGTTTCCTAAAGATTGGGCCGTCAAGTTTCCCTTTCTAATCTTAGCAGCATCGTTATTCTAGTGACGGTAAAACTTGCGCGTAGGATGCATTTCTCGACGACGTGGAGATAAAAGTCAAGGCCTCTTGGAAATTTCTCTCGTCCGAGAATCATTTGAATTTTGCGCCAGATCTCCGCACTTGCTTACCTGACGCGGCAGTCGTTGCCCATATCGCTATGCCTTGCGTCGAGAAATACGTGACGATTGATGTACGCTAGATGATGGAGAGGGAGGGGAGGGGGGTACCGCCACCGAGGTACCCTCATTGATCTGGTACCAGCCGACCATGAGTTGAACCACTGTACGGGTGATATCTCGGATACATCTGATTCGGAATACTCCTCGCAGCCGGTGAAGGTGATGGTACGGTTCTGGATTCCTTTCCTCTCAGTACTAGACTTCCCATGGATTTCCACATTCTTGATAGTATTTTTATGTTGGAGATTGACTACGGCAGTCTGAATGCTTCGGTGTCCAATTTAGGCGCCAAGGTTCGGAAGTTCGTCGAGATTTAGTTCTGAAGGCCTAGCTTGGTCATGGATGGTAGAGCAACACAGAACAGGGCTTGCGTTTGTGTTTGGGATAGGAGGGGGGGGGGGGGGGGGGGGGGGAGGACCAGGGGGTTCAAAAAAAAACAAGACGGAACGGTCTCCGCAGGGATGGCATTTTGGAGCTTGGGAGCAAGGCCCGAAACCAAATTTTTTTTCTGGGGCGAAAACTTGTAAATTGGGGATCCCCCCAAGGAAAGGAGAAGATCCTTTAGGGGTTGTTGGGCAGGAACGGCCCCGGCCTGCTTGGGTTTTCCCCCCCGAAAAACTTTTTGGGTTGAGCGAGAGGTTTCGTTGGTCCG